GACCCTAGTTAAAGTTTTAAGGTTACCAAACATCAGCTAGATGTTGCCACAATGTTGGATTTTCATCACTCTAAGAAATCAAGCTCATAAGAATATGATGGTGAACCAGGGCTGACTAAAGACATCTAGGAAATGAAGCCAATCAAACTCACTTGCTAATCACTTTTGGAATTGTTCAATTTAACCACATTATAAATATAAGACATCTTCATAATAGCAAGCTTAATTTGATACCCGGTGAGTTTTATTTTCTTTGGATTTGCAAAAAATATTAAAGGGAGATTCAAAAATGTAAATAATATAAAATTGGCAAAAAAGCTGGAAAGAAAGGATTTTTGTTTAAGAAAATTTTAATTGGATTGGGAAACCAGAGAGACTTGGCATATCAGTTATTTTTGTTGTATGATTTGTAAAACAAGTATGTAATTAATTAGTATGCTTGTGGGAAATTACTAAAACAGAACCAGATCCATATCAGGAATTGAGGATTGGTGAAGTTTGCAAATGGTCACTAGAGGCAAGCCAAGGACCAGGCAGAAAAGTATTAAAATAGGTAAATTGGCTACAATTTTTTCTTTAAAAAGGTTTTTTTTTTTACATGGACTAAATGTTAATAGTTTTATAATCTCAGAAAGGATACAGATTTCAATGATAAACTTTTAGAAGATGATGAGAAAGATTTTTTAAAAACTTTACTTGACATAGTCATTATAGTGTTTGAAGGCATGGAAGACAGCAAAATTGAATTTACCAAACTAGGAATACAAAAGATAAATCAAGAAAAGGGACTGGAAAAGGGATTGGAAAAGGAACAGCTGCTACAAAAAATCATGGATGATGCTTCTTTATGACATTTACAAAGTAGATTAATGAAAACTTTGAAGACTTCTTTTAAATCCCAAAGAGTGATGAAAGACCAAAACTTCCAATGTTGTAGATATACTGCTGGGATTATTTTTTTTGCACTTTTTCTTTTAGTTTAGTTTGAATTATACTCATTAAACATTTGAATTATGTTATTTAAAAAAGAACAGATAGTGAGCCAATAGATCCTAAACCAGGGGTGAAATGCTATCGGTTCGCACCAGTTCGGGTGAACCAGTAGTAAAAAAAAGCTACTGGTTTGTCCAAACCGGTATTTCTGATGATCAGCTGTGTGGTGCAATTTAAATTCGCTTTCTAGCAAATCTAAATCGCGTGGCACAGCTGTTCCCTCCCCTCGCTGTTCTACTTACCTTCAAAAGGCTCCTTTTTCCGTGCGCAGCATGCGTTTGGTGTGCACTGCGCATATGTGTGCAGTGAACAGGTGGTCACCCACGGAGGATTTCACCACTGTCCTAAACCCATCTCAATTTCCTGCCTTTCATTCAAACTCAGTGCTGTTCTTCAGCCATTCACACTATCTGTCAATCTCACCTGCCTCTTATGATTATGTGTAAAAGCAAGTACAGCAGGGGTGAAATCCAGCAGGTTCTGGAGAACCACTAGTGGAAATTTTCAGTAGTTCGGAGAACCATCAAATACCACCTCTGGCTGGCCCCAGAGTGGGATGGGAATGTAGATTTTGCAATATCCTTCCCCGAGGAATGGGGAGGGAATGGGGATTTTGCAGTATCCTTCCCCTGCCATGCCCACCAAGCCACACCACGCCCACCAAGCCACACCCACAGAACCTGTAGCAAAAAAGTTTGGATTTCACCACTGAAGTACAGTATGATACTTCCAGATTGACTATCTTTGGAAACACATAGGCATATATACTTAACACAGGAGTATTTATTATTAAATTTACATGCCACCTATCTCACTATCCAGAGCAATTCTTGACGTATATGTACTTTTAAGAATATGAAGTCATAAACTGCTGTACCTTTTAAGCATAAAAGCGTTATAAAATATCTTGTTTTACAAACATAATAAACAAGCCCATATAGGACTGCCTGCATATATATGCTTAGTTTCTGGAGTAGGATTTGTTCTTTCCAATTTCAATATCTAATTAGTATTAATTTGGCTTCTTTGTAAAATCTCTCTTATCTATCTCTCTTTCATCTATCTCTCTTTCATCTCTCTCTCTCTCTCTATCTATCTCAATTACTTTTTGTTGCATGAAAACACTAGATTTTGGCTGGCCTCCCAAGATGGGTTATTTCTCAGAATTGTAAACTCATCAACTGGTTTAAGGAAAATTAAAGCCACTTTGCGCAGGCAAGCAGGTTCCACAGTCATTAAGAACTCTCCCAGAATAATCTGATTTCATGGAAAAGTGTACATTGAACAGACTTTTCTACACAGTATGTGCCTGATTTCATTTCTGTGCCAGCAGTGGCTCACAGTAGCAACTCGGTTCTCCCTCACATGAGTTTCTTTAATGATTTCCACCGTCACAGTTCTTAAATCGTATCTCACAGTTGCTGTTATAGAGGGGAGGACGGAATTATACTTCATCAAAAATGGCAATATTGAGAAAGCAAAGGAGGAAAGAAGAATTTCCCCAGGATTTGCCACTGAAAGCCACTGTTATTCTATAGCAGCAGTGGGCAAGATCTAGGTCAAGGATTGCATGCAGTTCCCCAGCCACATTTTTGTGGATGTTGACACTAAATTGCCAATGTTCTATGCTCAACTATAAAATAACTGCAGTGCAAGATCTAGCTGCAATTTTTGGCAGAAAACTATCAAATGCCTAACACATCTATTCTTACATTAAATTCCATTGGGGAAAGAATCTAAAATGGGAAAGTGGACAGAAAATTATGTTCAACCCTTTATGATTGAGTTAAAATATTACAAGTTGTCAGCAATTTTTTGAGGCCTTCTGGAGGCTGCACACCAGGCTTTGCACATCCTTGCCATAGAGGCCTTTTTAGAGAGGAAACCCTTCTCACAACATTGCATTAATTCATTCATACCCAGAAAATATCCATAACATGGAAGAAGAAGGAACAGACAATTTAACAAGTGTGACGGAGTGCAGGAGAATTTAATTTTAAAAACAATTTTCAGGAATTTTTCAAATAAAAGAAAATTTTAAAAATGTTTACATTGTTCAAACACACAAAAACACAAGCCTCAAAAGACAACAATGACACCGTACTAGTCAGGACAATTTCTTGGATCCAAAGTCATTTCTTGATTTACAACCACAATTGAGCCCAAAATTTCTGTTGCCAAGGAGACAGTTGTTAACTGAGTTTTGCCCCATTTTACAACTTTTCTTGTCACAGTTGTTTAAATGAATCACTGCAGTTGGTAAGTTTGTAACATAGTTGTTAAGTTGCATCTAGCTTCCCTATCGACTTTGCCTGTCAGGTCACAAAACATGATCCTGGGACACTGCAACCATCATAAATCCATGCCAATCGGTAAGCATCTAAATTTTAATTACGTGACCACATGGATGCTGCAACGGTCGCAAGTGTGAGAAACGTTCATAAGTCACTTTTTCAGGGATAAATGAAAGGTTAAGTTGAGAACTACCTGAATAGACTATAATAGTATGAAAAGTCTATGGAAATATTACAGAAGGCCTTTTGTGTTGGCATTGTTACATAGAGAGTGAGCATGTGTACATGCATGTCCAAAATCCCTTGGAATCACAATCCTTGCAAGATTTTGGCATTCTCACCCCTAAACTCGTAATATTTTAAGACTAAACACTGGAGATACGGTGAAGATTTTGGCTATATTTCATTATAAAAAATCAATATCTATTTCATGCTCAGGTTGGATGGAGATCATCTAAGTGGGGTCACAGATGCCTTGGTTCCCATAACCATTTATATATATATAGTGATCTTCAAAGTGTGCCATCGCCACCTAGGGCAGTGATGGCTAACCTTTTTGCCATTGCGTGCCAAAAGCGGGGGGAGTGCGGGGAGGTCACACGCACGTGTACCCACATCCATAATTCTATGCACCCTGCCACCCCATGCTCCCCTTGCTTTTGGCACGCGATGGCACATGGGCCCGGTAGGCCCATTTTTTGCTCTCCCCAGGTTCCAGAGCCTTTCTAGGAGCCTGGGAAGGGCAAACATGGCCTTCATCACCCCCGAAGAGGCCCTCTGGAGGCTGGGAACAGCGTGTTTCCTGACTTCTAGTGGGCGCAGAAGGCCCGAAAATCAACTGGCTGGTGCACGCATGTGTGCCGGAGCTGAGCTCATGTGCTCACCAATATGACTCCATGTACCACCTGTGGCACCCGTGCCATAGGTTCGCCATCACGGACCTAGGGAGAACACTGTGCAAACACAACCCCCATGTTCAGCTGATTTCTTCCTTTGTGTTAATATTTAGAATAGAATAGAGCTGGAAGGGACCTTAGAGGTCTTCTCATCCAGCCCCCTGCTCAAGCAGGAGAATGTATACTATTTCAGACAAGTCTATGTACTCAAGAGTCTTTTTTTGAAGATTTTTAAAATCGACTCGCATTAAATCCGAAGCTCTGCTCCCTCCCGCCATCCATTCACACTACATTCAATCTGCTTTTCCACCCAAGTATCCGCCCCTGGGCAGGGATGAAATCCAGCAAGCTCTCACAGGTTCTGGAGAACCGGTAGCAGAAATTTTGAGCAGTTCGGAGAACCAGTAGGGGAAATTTTGAGTAGTTCAGAGAACCGGCAAATACCACCTCTGGTTGGCCCCAGGAGTGGGGAGGGAATGGGGATTTTGCAGTATCCTTCCCCTGGAGTGGGGTGGGAATGGAGATTTTGCAGTATCCTTCTCCTGCCATGCCCACCAAGCCACACCACGCCCACCAAACCACGCTGGTTTGTAAAAAAAACCGGTACTAAAAATTTTTGAAATCCGCCACTGCCCCTGGGCCCTTAACAACGAAAACTCTCCTTCTCGAAAGCGACGGCGCTGGCCCTTTAAGAAAAACTTCCCCTCTTCTCTTTCTCTCTCCCCACCCCCTCTCTCCCCAGTCCAACGTGCTTCGCTATAACCCCGGAGCCAATCGGGTGGCAGGAAGGCGGAGCGAATGGAACGCGGGAAGCCGGAGGAAAGGAGGAGGAGCGGGGAGGGTGGAAGAGCTGGAATCGTTAGTATTGTTTGAAGTTCAGCGTCGCGCGCGGGAAAAAAGAGAGCGAAGGCAGAAGAAGAAGAAGAAGAAGCAGCAGCAGCCGCCGCGGTCGCTCAACTGCCGAGCGGAAGAAACACGCCGCGGTCGATCGGCGTGGCGCGAGTTCGAGTCCCTCCCTCCCTCCCGCAGCAGCAAGCAAGCAAGCAAGCCAGCCACCGCCGAGATCTCGCTCTTGCGGACCACCGCCTCTCCCCTCCTGCACTTAGTTGCCGGCGAGGATCTTCGGGGCAAACTGGGATCCCTCCCCAGCCCGCCTCTCCTCCGATGGAGAACTTCCAGAAAGTGGAGAAGATCGGGGAAGGCACCTACGGCGTGGTCTATAAAGCCAAGAACAAAGTCACCGGCGAGGTGGTCGCGCTGAAAAAAATCCGCTTGGACACGTGAGTGGAAGACCTTTCCTCTCCCCCCCCCTTCCAACATCTACACACACACAAACACAGACACGTGTAAACAGACGAATACAGGCGGCGGGAAGCGGGATCGTTTCTCCGCTTAAAGGAGAAAGCGCAGCCTCCCGGAGCCTCGCTTTGCTTTTTTGGAAGGAAGCCTCTAGCTTTGGGGCGGTGGTCGAGGAAGAAAATAAAATAAAATAAAATAAATAAAAACAAAAACGGGAGACTCATAATGTGGCGGCTCGGCTGCTCCTCCTCCTCCTTCGCCATTAAGCGTGCCTTAGATCAGGGGTCTCCAACTTTGGCAACTTTAAGCCAGGCGGACTTCGACTCCCAGAATTCCCCAGCCAGCATTGCCCTGAAGGTTGCCTTAGATCAGGAGTCTCCAATCTTGGCAACTAAAGCCTGGAGGAATTCTGGGAGTTGAAGTCCTCCCAGGCTTAAAGTTGCCATGGTTGGAGACCCCCTTTGCCTTTATTTATAGATGGAAGGGTTGGTTCAGTGATGCTTTCCTCTCTTCTTGATCCGCGTCCCAAATGTTTCCGGAAAGTTTTATCAAGAGACGAGAAGGGAGCCCACGCAGCGTCTGGTCGCCTCCGCGGCTCCTCTTTTATCTCGCTTTTAATAAGGTGCTAATTTTACCTGCCTGCAAAACTGCTCCTTAGCCCCGAGCAGAGCGCGAGCTCTTTCGCCACGTAGGTACCTGGTGAAATGAGGATCGTATGCAGGATGACGCCCGCCCGCCCACCCACCCCGGGGCTGGGAGAGCTCTCCCAGAAAGAGGGAGGATGGAGCGATGGAGTGGGAATCGCTAGGCAGCTTGCTTTACAAGTTCCTGTAATTATTTCACGGCATGGCCGGTTGAGATTGGAGCAGAGGTGACTCGAAAAAGGTTCTTCCACGTTTCAAGTTACAAGGATGCTGCTGGCAGCAAGAGAATCTTATGCGAGCCCCACTTAAAAATGTCCTTTGCTATGAAAAGTAACTAGATGTCCCTTCTGTGTGCTGTAGAATAATACCCAGCTAATATTTTGGGTTCGGTTAATAATGCTAGGTCTTCAGTAAGCCCTTTTCCTATTGTTTTGTTTGGGCATGATGATAATAATAGTAATAATAATAATTTTATTTCTATACCGCCCTTCTCCTGAAGGACTCAGGGCGGTGTACAGCCTATTTAAAAACACAAGACAAAACAGTGATTAAAATTTAAAATGATTAAATAGATTTGGCTCAATTTAAAACCCCAGAAATTTAAAACACCCCAATTTAAAACTATTATGTTGATAGCCCGGCCTGGCGGAACAACAGGGTCTTCAGTGCGCAGCGAAACACCCGGAGGTCGGAGATCTTATGTATTTCCGGGGGCAGTTCATTCCACATGAGCACTCGCTTCGTTTATTGGATATCTTCCCTTTTTTATCTACTAGAAGCTGAAAGTGGTATACATGTACTTAATTTCCTTCCTCCCCCTTCATGTTTTCTTCACACTAGTCCTGTGAGCAAGTGGAAATGATTTGGGGAATATTTATATTCTACAGTTTCCCAGGTCTTGTCCCTGTAAAGCTGATAGTTAGATTAGAAGGCCAGTTTGATTTGTGAACCCAGACATTAGAGGATACAAAGTCAAATATACCAAATATTCATATAGGATAATAAGGAAGTCCCAGCATAAACTATTTAATCTGCATTACTAATGTATTATTCCACTTGCATTGAGTAATCCTCTATTATGCACAATCTTTTTCATCTACTGGTGCTTCTGGTACTTAGTTGTCTATCTCAGCATCTCATGCAGTCAATTTAGTTAGCTAAATTCATTCTAGTTTCATCTCCTCTCCTTAATTTGATTGTTTTCTTTGCTTTCAGGGAGACAGAAGGAGTTCCCAGTACTGCCATCAGAGAGATTTCACTCTTAAAGGAATTGAACCATCCCAACATAGTCAAGTAAGTATGTGGAAAACAGAAGGCGATGATCTGGAGAATGATAAATAGAATGCTATTTTTGGTGAGTCTTCAGGCCATTTACCAACCACTGTAATTGAACAATTGTACGATTTGCCAATTGTACTGTTTACCAACCACCGTAATTGTACAATTACGGTGGTTGGTAAACAGTGACCACTGTTCAATTTTCCAGCTAAATTGTTGGTAAACATTGGCCACTGTTCAGTTCTTCAGTTAAATTGAGAGGAGCCATTTTTATGGGCCAATAACTGACAGCAACTGATCTGGGAAAAGTTGCTTCAAAGAAGGTTTTGCAGTAAACTGGAAGTTACACACTTCCATGTTCCTTATTTTATTTCTGCTAAGTTTAGAAACATGGGCAACTTGAATATAATTTGTAACCTTCTAAGATAATAATGGCATTGAATTTGTAAAAAAATTGTTTGCGGTTTTGTCATCAACATCCAAAAGTTATTGTTTGTCTTTTATTTCCCATCCCTTCCTTGACTCCCCAGATTGTTGGATGTGATCCACACCGAGAACAAACTCTATTTGGTCTTTGAGTTCTTACATCAAGATCTAAAGAAATTCATGGATTCTTCTACTTCCATCAGTGGTGTAGAGTTACCTCTTATCAAGGTAAGCCATGCAGAGCATGTACGCAAAAAAACCCCAACACAACTTAGTTCTGGGTTCACAGGTATACTGGGTACATTTCTTTTTTACTTGACAAAAGAACTGCAGAAGTGCTGCAAGCCGAGGATTTTGAGGAGACCTTTGTGTCTTCAATGGACATCTGCTTAAATGTAGAAGGCCATACAGAGCTTCTTAATGAACAATGTGTGCAGTAAGACTGGCTTCGCTCCTAAATACTCTTTGAGTTGACTAAAATCTTATATAGACCCAAATGAAATTATATAGCTCTGCTAAATGTTCAAGGTGTTTCCTTATTTTTTTAAGTGTGGTAAATCAAACCACAAGACCCTCTACTTTGGGTTACCAAGTGGAGGTTGGAGGCAGTAGTCCAGCAGTATAGCCGATCCTGGCTTGTCCTTAAGGCTTGTCCTCGTCCTTAAGACAGACAGACTGTGACCTTATAGACTGAAGAGTCTGGTAGACATGGTTCTTCATAAAGTGGCACACAGAATATTTAGTTAGACATGCCCCTTAGGTCTTTTGGATATGATCAGGGTCAAATCCAGTATCTTTTTGCCAGATCCCATCAGATCCAAATTGATCCACCCTGCCCCAGACATCTCCTTGCAATCTCATCAAAGGGGGGGGAAAAAGCTTCCCCATCAACTAAAGGAAATTGCAACAAAACTGTCAACATCCATCCATCAGCTGATGACCTCAGCATTCCATATCTTTTACAATGGACCTTCTCAGCTATGCTGCCCTCCTCAATGGCCCATTTTGCCTAACAATAGAACTCACCCCAGGTACGCTGATAAGGGCCTGTCTAGTTTCCCCAAACTGGCCACAGCCAATCAGATCTCAGGGAAGGCCTTACAGCCTTCAACTTACAAAAACATTTGCTTTTCTGTTGTTTGCAGTCCCTCTTTCTTATAACACAGGAACTCAAGGATCCTTTCAGTAAACATGTTCTTTTCAATATTGTGATCTTTTAGACTGAATCCATTAAGATGTTTATTTTTCTTACATTGGATTTGTTAATTTATATTCTGTCATTTAGCCCTCTTATGTTCCAAATTGCAACCCTCTGTATAGCAGATACCGCTTATACAGGTAGTCCTCAACTTACAACAGTTTGTTTAATGACTGTTCGAAGTTACAATGGCACTGAAAAAAGTGACTTACGACCATTTTTCACACTTGCGACCATTCTAGCATCCCCATGGTCATGAGATTTACATTCAGATGCTTGACAACTGGTTCGTGTTTAGGGCAGTTGCAATGTCCCAGATTCGTGTGATTACCTTTTGAGACCTAAATTCCTCATTTAACAACATAAATTTTGAGTTCAATTGTGGTCATAAGTTGAGGACTACCTGTACTGACTTAAGGACTCATGGATATGGTCAATCAAGGTTTTACTAGAGAGCGGGTAGACTAGATTCCAACCATAATCACACCATGTTACATACAACATTCACTGCTATTGCTAAGGACAGTAGTGGTTAGTTTTTGCCAATAGGCTCCAAGCACAACCAAAACCTAATTTTATTCCAGACATGTTTATGTTTTTCCTAGAGCTACCTGTTCCAGCTGCTGCAGGGTCTTGCCTTTTGCCATTCCCATCGTGTCCTCCACCGAGATCTGAAGCCACAGAACCTCCTTATCAATGCAGAAGGAGCAATAAAACTTGCTGACTTTGGGCTTGCGCGTGCATTTGGCGTGCCAGTGAGAACCTACACGCATGAGGTGAACAATTTGTTTTTCCCCACTTTGGCATTCTCTATACTACACATATAGTCCGTGACTTACAGTGGTAATTGGGACTGGAATTTCCATCACTAAGCAGTGTGATTGTAAAGCTTGGGGAATGCACAAGTTGTGGAGGAGTTGGGCAAGGGAGATGTGGCAACGGGGTGCATGAGTGACTAGTGCAAACCTGGGGGGCGGGGAGTCTTACTCCAACAACATGCCACATTTTCTATCGACTCTTTCGGGAAGGTTGCAAATAGCAATCACTTGTGAGGTGCCGCAGCTTGTTGTAAGTGCAAACTGGTTGTTGTGTGCCCCCAGATTGTGATTACTTGACTGCAAGGGTGCTGGGATGGAAGAAACTATGAGTACTGCTCATAACTACCATTTGTTCAGGACCTTCGTAACTTTGAATGATCATAAGTCAAGGGCTACCTGTAATCTGGTTGGTTGGAAAATGCTGGTTTTCAAACATAGTTATTGGCTCTTCTCTTTCTCTTTTATATTTTGTATCAAACATGATTGATCAATTACGTGCCATCAAGGTGGGGTTAACATTTAGGGACCTTCTCCAGATGCTCTGGCTTTTAAAATTACGCAATGGTGCACCCATTGCTTCTATCACTGAGTCCATTGACCTTGCTTGTTTCTCTTTCCTTCCCCCTTTTCCAGACTTCTCCTGGAGGCTCAATCTTATAATATGTCCAGAATATAATATGAACTTGATCAATTTGTGCCTTGAATGGAAAAACCTGGATTGTTTTATAATCCATTTTTTTTATTGGCTTTCACTGTAGGTGTACACATATAAATATGAGTGGGCTCGAGGTTGAGTAGCATTAGGGAAACAATTTCTTTAATATCACGCTGCTCAGGAACATGGCCCAAATTTATTTCTTTCAGATTTCCCTCCATGTTGATTTCACACAACTTACTTGCATTCCAGCTGAAAGTGGCTGTTTTCAAAGAGGCTTTATGTTGAAATGCAGTTGCTGCGTTACTTCCTCAGAGTACAGTTTTTGTATTATATGTCTTTGTTGCTATGGCTCATTTCCATGCTCTATTCAAAACATTGATTAAAATTATTATTTTAATCAAAACAAAACGCCTAAAGGGCTAAGTTTGGAATATTTTACTAATATTCTTTCTCATCAGCGCTGAGATTGCATTTTCTGTTGTTGTAGGCCAGGATAGGACAACTGATTTTTAGCTGGAATCAAAAGTAGGGAAAGAAAAAAAAATGAGATTTTCACATTAAAGCAAAGGTATAGATTAAAGTTAATCCTTTAAACTTTTAATTGCACTCTTTGTTGCTGACTTTCAGCAGCAATTGCAATGGGAAGTCCAGGATCCACAAAAAAAAATTCAGAAGGTGTACACATGTATAGGTAATCCTTGATTTACAACCACAATTGAGCCCAAAATTTATGTTGATAAGTGAAACAGTTGTTAAGTCAGTTTTGCCCCGTTTTACAACCCTTCTTGCCACAATTGTTAAGTGAATGACTGCACTTAAAGTTCATAACATGGTTAAGTGACTCTGGCTTCCCGTTGACTTGGCTTGTCAGAAGTCAAAAATTGATTGCATGACACAACACTGCACCATCATAAATATGAGCCAGTTGTCAAGCATCTGAATTTTTATTACAGACCATGGGGATGCTGCAACAGTCATCAGTGTGAAAAATGATCAATCGCCAGGGCCACTGTAACTGAATGATCACTAAACAAACTGTTGTAAATCGAGGACTAGCTGTACTATACGAATCCTACCCACACCCTTTACCAAAGATAGGTACAGTACACTCCTGTCTGGGATGGTTGTCCTCTCCACTGAGCACACAGCTTTGGCAGGGGCACATATGGACCGGTGAGGGAGGAAAGGGACAGCTGCCTAGCCAGCCAGATCAGCCAAATCAATCCTGGCGATCAATGGGGTGGCAGATGTCATAGCCAGTTAGCCCTTGCGTCCATTTTATTGGTCGGTGCCCAAAATAATCTTATCTACTCATATGATTGTTGCAGTTGGGGGGGGGTGTCTCATAGTAAAGATCATTTGGCTCAATGTGCCCTCATAAGAAACACTACCTGGCTTTGTTTTCTGATATATGGTAAAATCGGTTCATTCTAAAGGTGCTTGGCTCTGTTACACAGCTAATAACCATTTAAAATACTTGTGTTCTATTTTAAAACGGGGGTCTGCAGTTTAAAAGTTTGGACTTGCCAAACCAGACTTAAATGAAAGTTGGTGTCATCAATGATTAAATAAACTTGCTTTCTAAGTAAGGGGAAAGAAAAAAGTATTTCAGAAATTATTTCTGAGTTTGGCCATCTCAGAGGTAAATCTGAGAAATGATGCCGAGGATATTCTTGTGACCATATAAACTCATGTGATTAATAGCAATAAAACATTTTCCTATTCATTAAGCTCTGTGGTATGTAAATAGGATACAATAACTCCGGAATTCCCCCTTTTTTTTCTTAGCTTCTGAAAGAAACTTTTGGAGCTGCCTTATTGGTGCCTCTGGCTTGTGTCTCTGCTCTGGAGGGACCAAGAATTATTATTATTATTATTATTTATTGAATTTCTATACCGCCCTTCTCCCGAAGGACCCAGGGTGGTGAACAGAATAAGATTTCATATACATTTAATAATTTTTTTTTAAATAAACAGTAAATAATAAATTGAGTCAACTTAGTGTATCTGCTAAGACCTTGGCATAGAATTTAGAAGTTTATGCTAACCCTGCTTGTTGAAACAGAAAGGTCTTCAGGGCACGTCGGAAAGTGCGAAGATCTGGGATTATTCATATTCCAGGGGGTATTTTGTTCCAAAGAGTAGGTGCCCCCACAGAGAAGTCTCTCTCCCTTGGAACTACTAGATAACATTGTTTTAATGATGGTACTATGAGTAGGCCTACTCTGTGAGAGCGTATTGGTTGGTGGGAGGTTATCAGTTGCAGCAGGTGGTCTCGTAAGTACTCAGGTCCTAAGCCATGGAGCACTTTAAAGGTAAGAACCAACACCTTGAAGGCCAACGGAAACCAGTGCAGCTCACGTAGAAGAGGTGTTACATGTGAGTGCCATGTTGCTCCCATAATTACCCGCGTGGCCGCATTCTGGACCAGTTGGAGCTTCCTGGTGCACTTCAAGGGGAGCCCCATGTAGACAGCATTGCAGTAGTCAAGTCGGGAAATGACGAGGGCTTGAGTGACTGTGTGTAATGAGTCCCGGTCTAGAGAGGGACGCAATTGGCGAATCAGGCGAACCTGATAGAAAGCTCCTCTGGCCACGGCTGTTATATGATCTTCTAAAGACAGTCATGCATCCAGGAGGATGCCTAAATTGCTAGCTTTCTCTGCGGGGGTCCATGACTCATCCCCAATAGTTAGTGATGGGACTAACTGGCTGTACCGGGATGCCGGCAGCCACAGCCACTCAGTCTTGGAAGGGTTGAGTCGAAGCCTGTTTCTCCCCATCCAGACCCATCCAGCCTCAAGGCACCGGGACCTCACTTCAAGGGCATCATTGGGGTGGTTTGTGGTGGAGCTGTACAGCTGAGTACATACAATTGAATGTAGCATCTTCTGTATGTGAGTCACATGGTGAACTATTGAAAAGTGACTCCAGTCCATATAGTAGCTCTTAATGTGAATTAATTTGGTGGTAATATATGATGCGTTTACAAAAAATGGAAGGATAGCACTTGTGAGGCAGACAACCGGATAAAAGTGTCCATTCCTGAATAGCTTATTTTAATTGTACATTCATTAGGGGTTTTATATTTCACACTAGGTGGTGACTCTTTGGTATCGAGCTCCAGAAATTCTCCTTGGCTGCAAATACTACTCAACAGCAGTGGACATATGGAGCCTTGGATGCATCTTTGCGGAGATGGTGCGTATTTTGGAAACGACAGTGGGGTGGAGCAGCGGATTGGGCTTGAAAGGCATTTGATTGGCAGGAGCCAGAAAATGTGGTTTGTGATGTTAAGGTCTCGAGGTTATTGTACAAATGTAGGTAACTATGCCACTACAGACTCAAACATTTGAAAAAGTTATCGCTCCGTAAGGAAAGCTTTATTGCTGTAAAACACACGCTCATTCATTTGTGTGTGTGAAACATGCGTAGGTCAGCTCAATTAAAGCCTGCTGACAGGATCAGTTGACTTCTGAGGACTGAATTGGGCTTTGGAGAGAACTACTTCCCTGCTAGGGGCAATTTGTACTTCAAGAATGGAGAATTGGGTCATACGTTGAGCATGTGCTGAGGGTTCTTTATCTGCTGAATGATTGGAATGAAGGAATGGGCCAGATTCCTTCCATCTATCTTAATGATGGTCAGTATTAACACATAATCCTTCTCCCAAGTATCTTCATATATGAGGCTTTTAGCTCCATAGGGGCCATCGTGATGAAAATTGCATTTTTTATATCCTGCTGCTTGCATAATATTTTTATAACTGAAACAGAGTAAAATCACTGAGTAATAAAAGGACAAAATTGAAACATTGCCTCAAAGTAGTTAGGCTAACAAAGCCTACTATGTTGTGATTCTAACCTTTTGTTCTTATGCCAAATAGTTAACCCGTAGAGCTCTCTTCCCTGGGGACTCAGAAATCGACCAGCTATTTCGCATCTTCCGCACACTGGGCACCCCGGATGAGACTGTGTGGCCAGGAGTCACCTCTATGCCTGACTATAAGTCCAGTTTTCCCAAGTGGGCCCGACAGGACTTTAGCAAAGTAGTACCACCGTTGGATGAAGAAGGCAGAAAACTTCTAGCAGTGAGTTTTATGTAGAGTGAAAAGTATTTTGAACCTATAGCATGTGGTTATACTAAGAACCAAGGTAGAGGTACTTTAAGGAGCATCTGACAGCAATAGGCAATTGCACTCATGCCAAATCAAAAGCTCCCTTATTGATTTGTGTTATATATGTTGGCATTTTTTATCAAATTCTTATTCAGAGTTTGCTCTGCCTCCATGTTTTCTTCTGCTGTCCTGCTTTAAAATTGATTTATTTCTCCTTACTTAGTGCCAGGAGAACTGTCATATGTCAGTGTAGAACTTGTGAGCTCTATGCAAGTTTTATCCACCTACAAGAAAAATGGTTTGGTCTTAGTTTAGAGTGTCCCAACTGTTGTAACTCTCTGCTTACATTCCTTTAGGGGACAAACTCTGAAGTCACACTTTTAGTTGCTAGATTTTGATTCTTGTCATTAACTTGACTAAGACTGAAACACATAGCACTAACTTGAACAAAGTAGTTGAAGTGAGAGTTGGGAAGTGAAAACCACTTCAGCCACTTTCAACATTTTGAGTATATTATAGTGCAAAAGACTGACTAATGAAACTTGCACTCTTCTTCTTTCCCCTTTAGCTGATGCTGCACTATGATCCCAACAAGAGAATCTCGGCCAAGACTGCTCTCAATCACCCCTTCTTTCGAGATGTCACAAAAGCTTTGCCACACCTCCGCTTGTGAAATGGAACTGGAGCCAACAGAGTAGCTGCAGTGCAGGCTCTGCAACATGCCTTTTTCTCGGGCAGCCCTGGTTGCTTGCACTTAACTTTTCAACTTAACCCCGGAGAGAACACTGGTGATCCAATTGGGGCACAGCCTACACCTTTAGGATTTTACTCACCTTTAAAGCACTAAGCTGAGCTTGAGGATTCGCTTGGTTCCAAGCTCCCTTGTGAAGAGAGAAGGGTCTCCAAAGCTACCAGCTCCAAGGATTCAACTTGCTTGAGAAAGCACCCCTTTCATTCTTCACGTGTTTTATCACCCCCTCTCCCATGAGTTCCATGCCTTCCTTTTTGGTGGCTTCTTCTAAATAAGGCATTGTGTATTTGCTTACTCTCCAGCTCTTGACATCTTGGTACAAGTACGGTGTTGATGCTTCTCTTTCCTTCAGGTGTAGAAGGGACTTTGGCAACATCTTTCACGGTGTTTTTCGTCTGTGATGTTGGTCAGTTTAACCCACTTGGATTAAAATAATTTTGAAGAGAGGGGATTGCTCAAGCTGGTGGTACAGTATGCCTTGCTAATTATTCAAAAGCTGGCTCCATCACTTAAGCTCTTTTTGACATCTGATATGCAGAGTACTTTTTTTTAAAGAAAAGAAAAAAACTCCAAAAAAATTTGCTCATTCGGTAGGGAGATGGGCAAATCTTTATTCACCCAGTATTGTGTTGTATTATATACCTATTGTCTTATTCTGTGTCAGTGAGCTGATGGTCTTTCTGAGTTTGCAGCCAATTCATGCCTTATGTTTGGCAATTATGGATTGTCATTCCAATACTGTCTTCCTATCACAGTCCGGAAAGTTTCAAATGTCAGTTCTGATGGGTTGGCCTTACATCCCTGGCTTTAAGTAATGTATCTTGCAAATAGATGCTTAAATTATACGTGAGCTTTGAAATACATACCTAATTATTCTATCTCCTATAATATCCAGCCATACATCTTGAGCCAAATAGAAGTCTTAAGACTTCTATAAGAGAATTCAGATTAGCAAACTTTTCTGGCTTGTTCTGGGGAGCCAGAAATATCAATGTCTACATCTTTGTGTCACCCTGTTTTGGAGGGAACTGGATTGTTCAAGTTACATCAGTTGAATTGTCATTTAAGTTCTGAGTTTTTTTAAAAAAATAGTCTGAACAATAGCTAAACTTAAAAATCATGGTTTCTGGTCAGTGCCATGTGGAGGTGAAGTATTGTCATAAAAATTTCATATTGAGAATTTTTAAAGACCACTTACATTTGCTAAATAGAAGAATACTTCCCTTTAGAATTCAGGATTTTATTTCAAAATAAGGCAAAGTGAAGTACCTAAAACATGTCTCTAGCATGCAGCAATAACTTAAATCTGATTTTGAAATAACTCCAAATTTCACACTTACTCAATCAGTTGTGTGAGGTGTCTTAAATATGAGGCTTCAGTAAAGCCATCTGATATTTGTTTTCCTGAAATGCTTATTTTTTATCAAAAGCATATATGCTTGGGTAATGCTCATTTATTGTAGAAATGAAACATGTATTTTAAGATGGAGAGGATTGCACTTTCCTCAAAAAGGGGGGGGGAGTTCTCATTCATCCTAGGTCATAATTCTTACTATCTTCACTCATAGATGAAAAATCCATTGTTTCAGATATGGATGGAAACTTCACTAAGAAAGTTGGTTATTTCAGGACCTCTTGAATTAAAATGGACATTCTTACATGACGCTGCTTAGTGTAATAATACAGAAATATCAAGATGTTATTCATGTCACTATTCAAAGCAATATTTGGAACCATGGTGTCCTTTCCTTTCATTGTTGGACTGGAAATATATATATATATTTATACGGCTGTTAGTTTTAAAAAAGATTTCTGAATTTGTTAGTCTAAGCACCTTGACATTTTTGTAATATAATCTTTTAAAGAAAATTATTTTGTTTTCTTAGCTCTTTGTAAGACAAATGTTACTAAATACAGTACTGTGAAATCAGTTTCTAAATCATTAAATACTAGCAATTTTAATGCATGACTTCCTTTTCATCAAAACAAAGATACTCATCAGTTTTCAATGATTTCAAGGATTTGGGGGATGAAATGTAAAAGGTGTAGCAGTTATAAGCAACGTTTTGATTTCAGGAACTTTTTACAGACTTAGAAATGATTGCGGACCTCAAAGAGTTTTGGAGCTATCTTATTTGAGCTCCAGAATTATTTTATTTGACTTTGCAACCCCTTGAAAGGGTCTTGGGGATTCTAAGGGACTGGAGACCATATCTTGAGAATCACTGGCCTACATTTTCCATTTGTATCTTCATATATATCAAGACTTTATTGTGAAACATAAAAGATTTAATTACATATAGTTCTTGCTTCATAATCAGCCACTTAGTGACGGACTCCTCCAAAAGGTATTTGCGACTCAGTTTTGCAGTTTTGACAACTGCTTGCACATAACACAGCCTGTGTGTATGGTCATGCAATCACATTTTGGGCACTTGGCAACCGGTTTACATTTATGGCTGGCTGTAGTGTCCTGTAGTCACATGGCTCCAATGTTTTTTAACGTTTTTGCCAGTTTCCAGCATTTACTTTTGGATTCTGGCAAAAAAAAAACAAAAACCCACATTGGATAAAATGGATTTACCTAATGACTTCTGCATTTGCTTAACAATTACTGCAAAAAAAGGTCATTAAATTGATGCAGCTACATGGGGACCTGCTTAATGACACCTTAACCATGATTCTGGGCTTTATAGTCATAAATTGAATATTACCTATATTTGTCTTTTGCTACAAATGGCAAATACTTTCAATCAAAGCTTATTGGATGCTCTTGCTTACATCCAAGAATATGTGATTCAGTAGAGATACAGGGATCAGGATGTTCTTTGCAAATCTCAAGTCCTGAATTCTGTCCAGGAGACTTGTGAAAATGTAAATTGTTATGAAGGTGAGTCCCACTGAACTATGAAAATGTGCGACCTGTAGGTCTACTACTATTGTACCAATTCATAAGAAGTCTTGGTCTAAATAGTTCTCAAGTCCTTCAAATGCATTATTCCATAACTTTGAGATGATGTCCCAGTCAATTACTCACCTGCTAAGGCTAATAATGGATTAGTTATCTGAGTTTACCTTCACCTATCCCAGAATCTTAACCACAATACCACATTCTCTCTGGTAAATCATGTGAAATCATAGGGTGATCTGTTGTTTTAAGAGAATAAACTGTGTCAAATATTCCAATCACATGATCATCTTTGAGTCTGAAGGGTCCTTCCTTCTAAACAGTTACCACTAGCATAAAGCTTCACAACAGGTTTGTGGAAGTGAATCAGATCTCAAAAGATCTATGGACCACAAAAAGGGAGTTATGAAAGCTTATTGGGCAAGAAAAAAAAATCTATAGGTAGCATATAAATGAAGAACGTGCAATAGCACCATTCTTCCCAGGAATGGTGATCCAACAAAAAATACTTAAGAACATCATCAAGAATCTTAGGGTAATCACAGAGGTCTGCAACACACTCTTCTGTGGCACCAGTAGTCAGAAGTCCACAATAAGGTACATTGAAGAAGAGTGTGCATAGAGATATTTAGGAGAGAACGTGCTCTCCAGAAACCAGATTGCCATTCATACCAATCTTGTCAAAGAGCATTTGAATGATTCAGTAGGCGGTTGGATGAATGTTCTGCAGGCTAAGAGTGGAAGATTTTGGTTTTTGACTGGAGAAAGCAAGTTACCGTGGGGCATGATAGTGGGATATTATGGCTTGGAGCTCCTTTGCATCCTTAGAACTTGGAAAAGCTCACTAAGGGCTTTACAAAGGATTCTTGTTAAATCTTGTTCGAAAGGTTTTGAGAAGGGACACAGAAAAAATGAAAATCTGGCAGATTTGAAGGGACTAAAGATTTAAGATTGTTAAAAGTAAAAGGAAGAAATATAAAGTTGGTTTATTTCATCAATGTTAAAATAGATAACATTATTCTTAATAACTCTTAATGGACTTTTGCTGACCAGGCCAGAACAAGGAGACTTTAAAGATTTGTCTATAGATATGAGTCATAGAAAAAAAAGAACATTTGTTATATGCGCATTTGCTGTATGTCAAGATAAGATTGTTGATGCTGTTACTAAAATGGCTTATTCCAGTATTTGTGATGAAGGGGGAATATTTCTTTGTTCTTTTACTGGTTTTTTTCCTTCTTTTATGCACTATTTTTTTTAAAGTTTGTATTAGTACTTATCTTTTTAACTGTAACGTCCCATAGAATCGTTTTTTAAAAAGGTCCTCCAACTTATTCACCAGCTTTTCATTTTGAGGTAGCAGAATCGGTGCTGCTGACCGTTACGAAAAATCGTAGTAAGGCCACAAAAGGCTCCGTCTCATTCACAGGGGTGGGGTGGGGGGGAAGGCCCTTGATTTACCATTTCGCTCCCCGGACAGAAAAGACTTAGAAGCGGATTTTGCTCCGCGCCCTACTCGCTTCGTTCCCTTTCGGCTGCGGGGAAAGGACGAGCTCAGATGATGAAAGAGGGGCCGCGGTCTCCCTAATACTTTCCTCCCCCCCAGTTGCTCCCAGGGATCTACCGTTGTGGCTACTCTTTCTTTTTAATGCTATTCGGAGGACTGACCGACCCGCCGCCTGGTCTCCAGCTTGAGCGGGGGGGTTGGACTAGATGACCTTTAAGGTCCCTTCCAACTCTGTTCATTTGTTAAAGGGCCGCGGGACGCCGGGAAGCCTGATCCTCGAACACCAACGAGCAGCTCCCAGGAGGGAAAGCGGGATTCATTCCCCACCCTCCACCCCGTCTTTTCTGCGGCGCAGCAGCATCTCGCCGGCTGTACGACTCTTGTGGGCGTTACTCAGAAGCAGCACGTCCCGCTGAGAGCAGCGAACCTGCGACCTCAGCAACAACACTTCCGGGGCTCGGGCAGACTCGGCTCTGGCCACGCCCCCCACATGATTTCCCTTTCCTAGAATTCTACCTCGCCCGGCCTCAATTGGGGGGGGGGAGGGTGTCAAGGTTCATAGGACTCCCGGAAGTAACTTTTTTTCCCCCCTCCTTGTGCCATTCAAATTCCTCGTGGCTTCTAATTGGCTCCCGGAGATAGTGAGCTCTCCGATTGGGCAAAGAAAGTTCGGCGCACGTCTACCTACCTTCCCGTCAATTCGGCCTCTCGCTAGGAGGTATGAAGGACATGTGATCTGCGATTGGGCAATATCAGCTACAGAGCGAGCTGTGATTGGTTGGCCCCGCCGGACGGCTCCGCCCCTCTTAGGTCACCTTATTTGTTGTTTATGAAACCTCTCGAATCGGCAACCTTTCTACTGGCTGGTTTACTCGTCCATTAAAACCCCAATTGTCTTTTCTATTGGCTGGGGAAGCTTTTTAACTCGCCATTCCGCCTCCTTCGCTGCATTGGTGCTTAGAGCTGCTTGCCCGTCCTTCCCTTCGCGGAGTTCCAATTAGCTAGATGAGGCAAGGGTGCGGTTTCCCGTCAGGCGATTGGTCGAGAGCACGTTCTAGCGCCCCAGGTGCCTAGCGGCCATTGGTTTAGAACGCAGCCTAACTCCGCCTTCCGGCACAGAGTTGGGTTTGGTTGAGGTAGTTTGTTTGTGTGCGAAACAGTCGAGGGCCGCGAAGTGGGGGGAGCCAGTGCCGTCTCAGGTACCTGTGTGGGGGCTCTTAGGCCGCGCCGGACTGTCCGGTGGCTTTTCGGCGGATCGTTTTGGCTCCCTGGGAAGTGGCTCCCTGAGACCGCAGTGGCTTGACTACGCGGGGGCTACAGGATGGACTTGGGCCCTTCGTCCCGGCAGCGGGGGGAGCAAGAGGAGGGGAGTGGGCTTGGCTAGCGAGTCCTTCTGACGGGGCGGCCTTGTGGCTGTGGGGGAGAGACGCGGGGTGGTGGTGGAAACGGAGGTTAATTGGAGGCCCTGGCCTGGCGGGTCTTGTGGAGGTGGGCCTGCCCCTTTTCCAACCGGCTACCAACTTGGGAGGGATGGATACGTGCCACAGGGAGGGTGGTGGCCTGGAAAAGCCCGAAGTGGGGCGAAGCGAAAGGCCTGGACGGTGCCGAGCCTGAGGGGTGAAGGACGTTGGTCAACGTTAGAATTGGGCTAGGAGGCCGAGTTTGAAGCGGGGTCGCCGGGCCGCGAGCGTCGTAAAGGGAACGTACGCGTCGGAATGGCGACTCTTGGCTCTACCGGGCGATGTTTGTGTGTGTGGCCTTTCTGACGTAGGGAACCGACCGGGCCGAGTTACGAAGACTTGCTGCTTCGGTGGAAATGCTGGCGGCGGCAGGGGGTGGGGTGGAGATCGGAATAATAAAACGGGCCCCAGTGAGAAGTTCAGGGCTTATTAATCGATCCGTAGTTGAGAGAGAGAGAAACTCTGCGGAAGGGGATCGCTCTCGTACCGTAGTCGGCTCGACATCGTTAAGCTTGCCTTGGTTTTAAAGAGGTTAGGAATTGCTAGTGGGGAATAGATTGCATGCTTACTCGTTAGTAAAATCTGGTTGGCGTAGGAGGGACCCATCAAAGCTTCCTAGCCTGCCTCCTTGGCGTTGGGAAAGCAGAACTTTGTACTACCGCGATAGCCGGTGAACCTAACAGTAGTTTAACATTTTGCTAGCTGTTGTACGATCCGAGTTTGGTTGCCTGACTTGTTAAACGCTTTCTTTGCCCGTTTGTCTTTCTGTTGAAAGATTTATGTTTTCTCATAGCACTGAATTCCCCCCTCCCCCACCCCTTCCATGGGTTTCTTGATCAATTATGGTTTCTTTCTTAAATGTAAGTCACCTAGGAGGGGCAAATGGGTTTTGCCCTTTCGAAGAAGATTTACCGATTAGCATGGTCAGCAATCACGGAGTGTCTGTGATTCGGCTTAAATTTATGGTAATAGATAGGCATGTGTGATGCTTTTTACTAATCCTTGTAATTAAGCTCTGAAAGGCATATTGAGGCTTCATGGATGTTTTAAGGTTCTTTTTCCTTAAAGTTGTACTCCATTAAAAATGCATTTGATGTGGGAAAGCTGCCCAGAAAACTAAAGGGAAGAGGCAAGGAGCGCAGATGTTCCTTATTAAATCAGTATGAGAAATAGACTTAAGCCAAGATGCAGTGCTTAATGTATCCTACATCCAAAAGACACTATTTGATAGCTGATGGAAATGCATTGATACCAAGCTTAAAACTAAGACGTGTGCAGTTATGAAGAATAAGTGAATGAATTTCGATATACTTTATTATGGCTTATTTAAGAATTGTGATTTCCTAGATTGATTTATCCTGAATCCACACAGGTGTAGTAGATATTATGAAGGATACACTCTTGAAGTTTAGCAGTAAACTTTATGTTGTTTAATGGTGAGAAACTTTCTTTTAATCTTCACAAAATTTCTCTAGTTTTATCATTATTGTTCTTAACAAAAAAAGTTGCAACAATGGCTAAGCAGGGAAGTGATTTTTCTAAGATCTTGATGAGATGAGAGTATTATCAGTATAACTGAGATCAAAGAATGTATACGAGAATAAATGTGTATTTACAAGACCTGACTAAAATGATAAGTTAGTGTAGAGGTGCATTACTATTACTTAAGATTGATAGTGAGTGGAGTCGTGGACCCAAATTTTTGGCCAGTACTGTGTCTTCCATTTTCAGTTTGACACTGCACTTGTCTTTTTCCTCCATTCAAATTATAATTTTAAAGTTATATTTAGATTCTTAGATTACATATTTGGTTTCAAATTTCATCCTTCCATTTTTGTCTGTATATTTAGTTCTTTCTTTGCAAAAGAACTGTCTTCCTACTGTCTATAGGTGTGCATTTGCTTACGAGCTCTAAAAATGCCCCATCACTAGTTTTGCATAATAGTATTTTTTACTGATAACAAATCTCTTTCCCATTGTGGAAAATAGTGCTTTTAATGTCACTTTATATGACATACACCTTGGAATCTAAAAACCTTGGAAACACATCCTTCTTTTTTTTGTTACAAAGGTAAACTGGGTAATTTGCTAATTGTATGCTAATACTGATCACAAGAAAGAAATTAAAAGCTTTAATGGATTTTACGGTTATGCTTTAAGTGTTATATGTAGTAAGGGAAAGTTATCTTCATAATTTGCTTTTAAGCTTTCTCTGAGTATAAATCGAATTTAGAATGCAGACTGACCTTGGGGTCTGTATCATTCCTTACTGATATCAGGAGACTAGGGTTCCTTCTCCTGGTTGGCCTGTATAGTATAATCAGACAACTTCTTGACTTGAGCTATTTGAAAGTGAAGTACTTTGTCTTAATCTGTGTGAAAAGATAATGGTAGTTTTTGTTGGTAAGGAGCTCTCTAACTGTAAAGTATTGGGTATATTTGCAATTTGTAATTCCTGCTAGGATTTAATAACCCTTGTATTTTCTTTCTTCTTTGTATATTAATTTGTTTTATTTTTTATCTCTTGTCAGCAAAGAGACAACCTAATATTGAATCGGTTTTTAAATAATATGAGCTCTGTGTACAATGAGTTCCATGAACATGAAGTAGCCTTTCTGTTTAGGTTTGCAACATGAGTCTGGATAGTGGTTCTCTCTTGATCAGGATATAAGGAAAGAACCTACTTAAAAAAAGGTAGGGGCTAATCATTTTAGGACTGTGGTATAACCAGTATTATTTTGAACTTACTTCTTGAAAGCAATGTAAATATTGGAGTAGTAGCAACATTTGCTTGCTATTATCAGCTCTTCTTGGAAAATGAGGTATTGCTTTTAGGGGTCACTTGCAAAGGTGGAATGTATTTTTATATAGATTCTCTCATACTAACAGACTTAATGTTACTAAGGAGTTCATCCAAATGGGAAAGAGAACCAATTACAGTGGTAGGTTGAATGTTCAAGCAGTTGGAAACAGTCTCAGATTCTCTCTAGCTTGTCAAAATTCAACAATATAGAACTTAAGTGGTAGAAAAGATTTCCAGGGAACTGCACAGTAATAATTTTATTGAACTGAAGGCCAGCAAATGTAATTGAATACTTTAATTAGATATTTTTAGTGTTATCAACTTCAACTTCTTGAAATCAAACATTTCCTTTTTAAGAACTTTTTAAATTCCTTTTTAATATGTAGCATGTATGCTACCAGATCTTTTTATTATCCCTGTTTTATGCACATCACCTATATACATGCTACTTGCATATTGTACTACTTACCTATATATGACTCTTACATAACTTTACTAACTGAGCAGGTCTGCTTAGGCAATTAAAGGGAAATTGTGCCTTAGGATGGAGAGGCATATATAATCATATACATGGATAAATATTTACAAAGGTGAATGTTCTTGATTTCAGGCAGAAAAGGGTCATTTTTCTTTAGAATAAAAGAAGGTGGCATGTTTATACATAGTGGTTTGAAATTAATGACAGTTTGTGTTAGCTAGAGTTCTCCAGTGTATTTGCTGCTTTAATGCACACTAAACAATTGCTTGTCTACCTTGTCAATTCAGTTAGGTCTAGCTAGTGTGGAGATACGCTACTCCTGTAAACTGAGAAAAATATTAATGTTAATGCTGAGTAGGTACTCTACAAGATATCCTTGCATATAATCAGATCTTTAAAGAATATATTGCAAATATTGTTAGGGAGTCATTTTTTAAATTAAAAATGACATATCTGATGGTTCATTTCATATTGCCACAATTTTGCTAACAGATCAGTGAAATAGGCTTTGCGATTCCTAAAATGAAGAGTCTGAGGTAATAACTCAACCACTTTCTGCATCTAGTTCTTAAGCTCTAATATAATATACACATCAAACGTCAGTTTCCCATCTTGCTGTGTTAGTATGTAAAGACTCTTAAGCTAGGACAATGATTTCAAATCATCTAGATTTGTCCTTGAATATACGTTGGCATATATATAGTGGAAATATAGCTAGTTGCAAGTGTTAAAATATATATTTCTGCTTAAGATAGAGGAAAGTTCATCTTCAGGACAAAGTCCATCACTTATTGGACCTGAAATTAGGAGACTCAATTACTTATTATTCTAATCACTTAGCATGTTTTTGCCTAGCCTTTAGAGAAGCATATATAATAAAACAATAGTGTGGATTATATTTCTGTAGGACCTCTTTGTGAAAAATCCAATCTTCATTACTTGAACAATGTATTCAATGTACTAAAGTTTGCAAAGAGTCCAAGGTTACCAGGGTGGGAATTTCTATGGGAATTCAAGCACAATTTTCCATACTTAGTATATCTAAAATGTTCTTAGTTTCAGCACCTCAAAACTAACTTGTTTAGCTGTAAATAAAGCTCAAAACTTCATACCCAAGAGGTAGATTGTAAGATGGTCTCAACCTCAGTTATTTCAATATCTTAATGGTGGTTAAATGTATTTTCAGAATAGAATTTATAAAAGGAAGGATTTCTGAAAAGAAGGCCATTCTGATTTACTTTTTGGATGTAGTAGTAGCAACTGGTATCAAGATAGTAAAAGAAAGATTTACTTTTAACAAACACATGCACAAATGGTTAATAGGTTTAACTCATTAATACTGGCAAAAGTAAATGCTTGTCCCTTCTTAATTAATGCTCCATACATAAAAATTCATTACTATCCATGTTGTGTCCAGTTTACCACATTATCTTCTGTATCTTTGCTGTCCAAAGGTTA